ATTATTGATTTATGGGAGCTATTTTACATATGATTGCTCATGGAGGCTGGCCTAAAGCATTGCATTAAGTACTGTGGGTCACAATGTTTCAAAGTGGCAGTAAGTATAGGTGATACATCTGGAAGTCTGGGGATGTGTGGCATCGGGCAGAGGAGTGGGTCATTCCCTCACGTTACTGGCTGACCACAGCATCCTGAGGCCCGACCCTGTTGTCTCAAGGTTGGTCGTGGTGACATGGCTTTTTCACCAGCTACCAGAATTAATTGCAGCCGTCATTGAATAATATCTGTTTAGCTAATGCAGGGCTGTGCTTGAGCACGTGTGTGGGCATTGGGCATAAAAGTATATTTGTGAAGTACATTATGGGAGAAAATGCACAATAATATTATATTTACCGGCATATACTAAATTAATAAAATATATCACACTGCCATTACAACATGTAAATAAAAACAAAACATTAACTCCTGTGTAAATAATGAATACAAAATGAAGTCATTTATACGACGTAACCACTTATTTTCATTTACGAGTCCGCTAAAGGGACTGTGGATTTTTGGAAATAAATACATAAATACATAATAATCAACACTGGGAGTGTTCGGCATAGAGTTGGCAAGTATGATATAGCAAATGCATGTGCTTGAAAAGTTTATACTTTAAATATTTGACTATCATTGCACTAAAGCCTCGTCTTAAACAGTGCTTAAACACAGTGCACTTGTGAATGATGGAAAAGATGTACAAATCCAAACTCGTGTATTATTAAATAATAACCTCTCAACATGCGATAGCACCGTGAATCCAAAAAAGTGTATAAATGACTTTAAACAATAAATATTAAATATATTCATTAAAATAAATTAACAAAGATAAGAAGAGTGCTATTATTCACAAGCAATGACATCCTCAGGGATGGGTAAGTGATAATTAAATATTTACAATTTCCTGTGCCTTTGACCTTGCAGTTTTCCTATCCAGCACTCCGGTAATCATTACCCGTGCATTGTCCTCAGTGCTGAATATTCCACCAGCGAGACGGGTGAGGATCAGATGTCTTAGCAATCACGGATGCCGCTTTCACAGGTGCCTGTTGCTGCTTCGTAGCAATTCCGGAAGCGCAGATAAACCCACAATCTCTCTCCAGGGTATCTCATTCCCTTTTTTATCCAATACATTTGAATAGCCGCCAACCTTCGTTAACAAAATTATTTGGCACATCCCGTGATGGGTACTGCAATTTCCGACCATGTCTGTCCAGTGCTCGCTAGGCTGCATCGGCTTGCGGTTGCTAAACGAATACATTTAAGGTCGCGCACATTACGCACAAAGTGCTCGCCACAAATGAACCACAATATCTTGCAAATCTTGTCAAGGAGCATACACCATCACGCAGATTCTGGTCACCCTCGCAGTGGCTTTTTGCAAGCCATTGAACAAATAGGGCCAGTCCATCGCGTGCTTTCAGATGCGCTTCTGTGGCTGTCTGGAACCCTCTTCTGATATTAGGAGAGATGCAATTTTAAATCTAGGTTGAAAACTAATTTCTTTAGAACTGCTTTTTGTGTTAACTTTGTTTGTTGTCTTTCCCCTGCACCTCTGATTAGCACGGTTAGCTACATACGGTGCAAAAGAAGTTAAACATACATAAAGCAAGTAGAAATATAACACATTCCTGTGGAGGGAGCTGGTAGGAACGTTGGGTTGCTCGGTCAATGGCCAGGGTCAACAGCGGCGTGGTTTATTCCACAAATATGCCCGACTGTGAGGGCGGGCACAAGCCGGCGTGAGTAGGTTAAACGTTGAGTTTTATAAGGGCACCACGGGGTGACCAGCCCCTCCCCACCCAGCCCCACCCCTCCCACCCCCACCCAGCCCCACCCAGCCCCTCCCCACCCTTCCCACCCAGCCCCTCCCCACCCTCCCCACCCAGCCCCAGCCCACCCTCCCCACCCAGCCCCACCCTCTCCACCCAGCCCCTCCCTCCCCACCCAGCCCCTCCCTGAACGATGGACGGACACAATAATCCCCTGTGGGCTGGTGGAACCAGGTGGTTCCTACCAGTAAAACTAAATATGAGTGGAAATACATACAGGGCAACTGTACACGTTTAAACATAAAGTGACATGTAGCTGATTTATGTTATCACTGACTGTTTTTATGAATTGTCAAGTGCTGGAATTAATTGTTTCTTGAATAAAAAATATTATAAATTATATAAATGAATATAAATAGAATAGTAGCAGTGCATTATTAATATTATTAAGATGAGATGTAAGGAAGGCAGTGTAATAGAGTTTTACGCTTATCAATACGTGTCACTTGTGGTTAGACTCATACCACACATATGCAGTTGTCAATATCAGGTCAATGTCTTTTTACATTTATTAGCCAAAAGGGCACATAGCCAGGCACATTGTGTGGTAAATTGCAATATTTATGGTATCCAAGATACATTCATTGCATTTTTTTGAGGAGGTCTATACGTGGAATATATTTCAAGCTATTATGCATACATGGACAATACAGAAGCTTGTGTTGCCTCCGAAACGTCGTGATTTTTATTTTATTTTTTATTTTACTTTTATTAATTTAAATGTTTTACCTACGTGACTTTACCGAAAAAAACCTAAGAATATGAATACATGGACAAGATTGTTCAGCTGTTGTAGACAGATGTTTCGTGTTGAGGGACACTTATGACTCAGGAAAATAAGCAGTGACATTTTCAGGCAATGGTTCTCCGTTGAAGTTAAAAGAGTTCATCCGAAGGGTCATAAACTAAACCCTTTTTGCTTGTTTTTCTTTATCACAGACTACGCATTTAACTTTCAAATGACGTTGGCCATAAGTGTTTCTATGTATAATGTAAACACTGGTATTTTTTTTCACACACCAAGGATTCTCTCACGAGCAAATATAAAACCTATTTTGCAGGATGTCCTTTCCTTTCATGCCTACAAAATTGTTAACTTTGAAACAAATATAGGTGACAGCACAGCTCACAATCACCTGCTTCTAGATAAATAAACTCACGATAGTTCCTTCAATTCTTTTTAGAGACTTGCTTCGTGTGCAGATATAATAGAAAATCATTCCTTCACACTGGCACACAATTGCTTGCTCATATTCAGAGTGACGGGGTCGTTTTGGACCCACAGTTTATAAGAGAAACCATGCCATATAACGACGCTACTTTAATGTCAAGAATTCTACTTCACATTATTTAGGAGTCAAGAGGCGACTTGAACCAGTCCAGAAACTGGCAAAGCTTTGAACCGTGAGGCAGAAATGCTTTACCTGAAGATATACATGTTATCCAGTTGCAACCAAGCCACATATATGATTAAATAAGAGTGCAAATTATAATAATTTACCGTTTGTTGTTAATCCACTGCTGGATGATGGATTCCTCATACTGTGTTGCTTGCAGGGTGGTTGTTTAACCAAATTCCACACCACATTGTGTGTATTGGTCAAAGACGGGTACAGGACTAGTACAGATAGCTGTGGCCAGGAATCAAACTCGGGTAGCGATGCTCATAACACAGTACATGCTAACCACTGTGCCACCGTTCGATCTTAATTAGTGCTTATTGGTCTTAAAATTAGAATACTAAATTAGAGTGTTTAAATGCACATGACATTATTCATTATATTGGCTCCATATTTTGCATGTCATGGCTCGCCATGTTGGAATTTATACAGGACAGAGTGCACAATATTTCAATTTTTCAGTTTAAAAAAATAAATACGTTGTGTTTTGGTACACGTTATAGGAGCAGACTTGCAAAATCACTGGTACTCGTTGAGTTTTGTCAAATGAGTGACACAAAAAAGTTAAACAAAGCTTAAAAGCTAATTCTATTGCAAGCATGAGCCAGCCCCATCAGTCGACACAGATTTACCAGAGATTTGACAAAGCACACACTGTGGGTAGATTGTGCTTAGAACTGGCCAATTGGCCCAACTCAGGATTGGAAGGTTGTGGATTCAAATATTGGTCAGGGGTCGAGACAACGTATCATTTCACTACGGTCAACAAAATGACCATTGCTTTGTGACAACAGTGATTATACTGTGGTCCTGCCAGAGGAATATAGAATTTTCCATCCACCGGCTCAGGGCCACCACCAATCACCCGAGGCTTATTTGAGCAGGGAGACTCTTCAACATTGACGTTTGAATTTAGATGAGATCCAGATCCGATGCGACCACATATCCTCCTGCGTGTCTGATTGAAAGCTGTGTAATGCACTGTGGGTAACTGTTTTGCGTTGTGTGAGCAGGGGCCGTGTACATACTAATCAATGCTGACACCCAAATTTGTAGCAAAATATAATCGCTCTGACATTGCATGAACTGCTTTGATGTAGTGTGATTGTGTACAATAAAAGTTAATGCGGCTGTTTGTACATTGTTAATCAATTTAATGTTCAACATTTACAATGATAATGCACATGTCCAATGTGTTATAATGATATAAATGTAAAACATATATAACAAGATTTTTTATACTTTTGAAATGAATGTATATTTTTTGGGCAAGAATAGAATTGCAAGCATGCTTGGTCTAGCTGTATACGATCACTGTGAGAGATAGGGCATATTATTTTTTGATGCACGATTGTCATTTATTTCTACTCTAAAAGCATAGAGAAGCAGAGTATATTTGGACTGCATAATGTGTTCACTGATAAAAGGAATTGATGGTTAAAACATGTTTCAGATATTGTACAATCAGTACAATATAAAATTGTATATTTTTCAATGAAAGGTGCATACAAATTGACAATTATCGTGGCTTAAATGAATGTTTAAATTAATGTGTTTTTGCATTCTCTTTGTATGCACATTTGAATCATGTTTTTAAATTAATTACCAGTTTTATCACTTGAGTGGTGTATGGGGAATAACAAACACAGCTTCTCACTATTTTTGTATTTGTTGATTGGCCTCTGAAAACATTATTGACAGTTTCATTGTTTCTTCACACCTAGGATGCCTCAATAGCTCACAGATTTCACCTGATGAGAGAGAAGCACCCAGAGAAATTCAACAGCCGGTAAGATCACACACATCCTCTAGGGTCCTCATTCAAACAGTCATCGTTATGGTCTAGCCAGGGTGTCATTAAAGTCATTTCAAGAGCTGTGAATATGTATATTAACATTTGTTATATATTTTGATGTCGAAACATTTTTTAAAAGACATGCTTACGAGATTAATTTTATATAACCATGACAACATTTCTCGATTTTTCTGTGTGTACCATAATATTTATAACTTACATTTTTTTGGTAATCCACTGCTGGATGAAGGCCTACCCATGCCATGTTGTTCATGGGTGTTATTTGACCATACTTCACCACACTAGTCATTGCAGGTTATTTCATAACCAGTTCCAATATCACCTCACTATTAGCTCTGGCCAGGAATCAAACTCAGATCTCTGAGTTCATAGAGCAGTGTGCTAACCACTATGCCACCATTCCACTCCATGAGCGTGCAAATATTCCATACAGTTGAATTTGGATAGCAGGGATCGCTACTTATTTATAGACAAAGAAACGACTATACTGGTTCATCTTCCAGATACACCTATTTTTAAATTATGATCCTGTATCCATTTACTTTGAAGAAGCAAGGACATGTTGTTTAACGCATCTAACGTTATATAGTAATTTATTCCAAAGTTAATGGGAAAGTGGTTACAATTTTTTATTTTCAGTAGCTTACTTAGTAATTACTATTGATAATTCCTTTTTGTATTTATCACCTTCCAAGCGCTTGTCTAAATTTAACACGCCTGCTTTTGCATGCATACATTGGCTGGTACTGTACGCATAACAACTGTGGCCATCTTGCCAGTAGAGCTTCACATAGTGTGTATGAGCCATTCTTTTTTAAGGTTTGAAAGTGGTTGCGAGAAGACCTGTGTATTCGTCACTTTATAATAAAACAGCATTTCATGAAAGTGCGTTTCATGGCTTGAAGTTTGGAAAGTTTAAACAATGTTGTGGCAATGTATTTAGTAAAACAAAAACAGTTGGTTTAGCAATTTGAATGACTTAAACAAAAAAACTGCAAATCAGGTGAAACGTGTTTTACTTTTGTGATTCGCTTTTTATGCCCCACCAAAATAATGTATCGTCATCAGAAGCAATACGGCTCGCCAGAATATAGAATGTTTATTTCACATTTTGACTTCAAACTTTCGTGACTGCAGGAATTAATATTCTTCGGTTCGATCGTAACACAAGCGGACGACTGCTTGTGTTGCTTGCTACAGCAGCCCTTTTGCCCACTTCAGCAATTGTTTCTTGCTCTGGTTGTCCCACCTGATGGCGGGCGCTTTTGTTGCACCCGAAACGTCGTGATTTTATTTTATTTGATACCTACGTGACTTTACCGAAAGAACCAAAGAGTATGGATCCCTGCAGTCACGAAAACTTCAAATCTAGATTAGTCACTTTATTTTTATTTTTTCTATCTACGTAACTTTACCAAAAGAACCAAAGACTATGTTTCTTTAACATGTTTTCATTGTTATGTAAGCCTTATTAGCAATCATTGTAAATATACTTAAACCACTTACTGGCCTCAAATACATTAAAACACCAAGTTGTGATCAAGACCCTAAGTTATCCGTTGAAAGGCTAATTTCTCTGCTCCAGCAGCTGCCCCAGCAGACCCACCTCTCTCTCTGCCCCCCCCTCCGTCTATTCAAGGCCTCGACACAGAGGCATTGGGTCTCTGTGTGTCTATGTTGTGTGTCTCTCTGTGTGTGTCTATGTTGTGTGTCTCTCTCTGTGTGTGTCTGTGTTGTGTGTCTCTCTCTGTGTGTGTCTGTGTTGTGTGTCTCTCTCTGTGTGTGTCTGTGTTGTGTGTCTCTCTCTGTGTGTGTCTGTGTTGTGTGTCTCTCTCTGTGTGTCTGTTGTGTGTCTCTCTGTGTGTGTCTCTGTGTTGTCTCTCTCTCGGTTTGTGTGTCTGTCTCCGTGTCTGTGTTTTGTCTCTCTCTCAAATGTAGTTCTACCTGATGACGGTTACTTGTGTTGCAATCGAAACCTCGTACTCTATGATTTTATTAATTTTATTTCTACGTGACTTTACCGAAATAACCAAAGAGTACAGATATTTATACTTTTCTTAAATGCTATGCACATTACGTTTTTTAAGTTCACACCAGTTACAAAATCAGACATATATACAAAAAAATATTGCACCTACATTCTATTCTGGGGGATATATATTTTTTCAGAGAATCTAGTCATGAAACTGGTAAATAATGGCATCTTAAATGCCACAGGACTCTTTATTTTAACACGCACTGTCACACAGGCGAGAGAGAACGGAACGTGATCGAAGCACAACCGTTGGATCATCATGCAGCTGCAAGGCATGACTGGGAAAGCCAGTGAGAGTAATCAAACCAACTTAACCTCTGAAGCTAAGTGTACGTTGTTGGCCGCCCATGGCTCAGCTGTCATGCTCCCATCTACAACACTTTGGGTGTTTGTAGCAGTTGATAGCTAGAATGCCGATAAGCTCTCATGAAATGTATTTGTATCTCCCCATTCAGCAGACTGCCCATATTGTTGTTCTTTAATACCTGTTAAGATATAGGGTTGAACAAACATGTTCAGTTTAACACGTAGGCTTTCGCGACCAATGTTATTCATAATCAACGTTTTTGGGTTTAGATCGCGTTATTTATAAATGTGTCGGGTGGTGGAGGGTTACGACACATTTATAAATAACGCGATCTAAACCCAAAAACGTTGATTATGAAAAACATGTTCAACTTGAAAAGTTACAGTTTTCTATTTCATATATGTTCTTACCGTGTATCAGTTTACCCTCCAATAACTTTTGTGGACTCAAGAAAAAAGTGCACAACAGTTACAGGCTTTTGCAACTTCTAATATAGAAGATAGAGAATTATAAATTAACTTGGTGATATTTATGCATGTCAGAGGTTCTCCAAGTTAAAATATAAAAGTGTCTCATAAAAGCTGAAATCTAGATGTAAATGCATAGTATTGCAATTCCATGACCCTCTCCCTGTCAGGTATATTGATATTGTAAGGTGTTCTCTAAGCTGGTGAGCTCTTAAAAAAACTATAAAAAATCCACCACTGACTACAAATAGTGTATTTCATGCACACCTCATAACTGTATGCTGGATAGCAGACAGAAGCGTATGGCTGCAAGCAAATATGCCGTGGTGGTGCAAGTTTCACATTAATAATGAATTACTGCAGGGATATTTTCATGAGGACCTTAAAAAATGGAAATAAATGACACATTTTTAAATGTACTCAAGGTAATTTATTGTGATGTATCTTTCAGGAAAATTGAAATGAATTAAAACACAATTATTGACTAATATCTCAATTCAACCTTTGATAAATAAAGTAAAATGTAGTATATTTGTCGAATTATGAAGATGGATCAACCTATAACATATATAAACATTCCCAATTAGCATAAGCAAGCAGAATGTTCAGTTCACAAAGTGTAGAAAATATATTCTGTATTTAAAAAAATGATGTGTTTCTCGAGGCCCGTAGACCCGTCAAGAGTGAGAGAATCGCTTTACTAACAGTGTGTTCCTTTCCACCAATGCTTCTCAAAATAGAACAAAGAATCCTGCAGTTCCCTGACAGTGCCAGTCTGATGTTTCACATTGGTTTTCCCTCTGGTGAGGAAGCTTCCATTTCAGACGACTAAATTCCCTATCGTAGTGGGCGATGTGAAAGAAAAAAAAAATCCACCACGACATTTTACGTGGTATTAAGCTGGTGTGTTACAATAGGTGTGAATTGACTAACACGACCTCGAATAACAGATTAGAAGTGCTTTAAAAATGTTTAACTGATATGTACATTTCAGCATTGAAATACTCACTTCCTTTTCATATCTGTTACTGTAATTACATTTTTCTGAATGTTTTTTTTTCTCAAGAAGCCCATCAATGCTTATTTAAAACTGCATTCGAAGTTGTGTTAGAAACCTAAATTATAGGAATTAAAATATAAACAGGCCCAAATTTTGCTTAGACAGGCAACAGGGGTATATGTTGGCCTCATATGCCTGCATGTTTTCAAAGTGTCACGTAGCAAGCCAATAGAAATACACATGTGCTTTTAATGTTTGAGGTGGTATGTTGGCATTAGAAGAGATGTGCACATTATATAACAACAAATAGAAAGTGTGCCCCAGAGTTCTTCAATGCTCATTCTGAATGTGAGAATATTTATTTAAATCAAGGTAAGGTTTTGCTGGGTTTGTGTTGCTGTGGGGCTTGGGACATGTAAATAGAGTGACTCGTCCCTAATTGCTGTGATGAGAGAACACGTTGTTCTGACATTTGTAGGGCAATAGGGCTTTCACAAGCATCTCTCGGCTGTCTTTCTTAAAAAATATTATGCCAGCACGTCACCAAGACGTACAGCAGCTATATAATAATGTGGTTATCATGCAATAATCGCACTATAATGAACAGAAGTGGTAAAAGTTCAGTGGCTATAACATCTCAACAAAAGAGTGAAAAAAAATCACATTATGCTGATGAACACTTAGAAGCATGGACACTTATTAAGGCTCTGCTTCATGCCGTGGACAATGTGAAACTTCCACCATTTGCTCAGGGTGACTGATATAGATTAGCGCCACTGAACACTCGCTTGAGCAAAGAGCCAATATGACTTGTGAAGAACAGCTCGTGTTAACAGAATATATACTTCCACATTAGTGCCTGTGTGACCTAAGCAGCTGTGGATGCCACGATCCTCTCCTTGGTAATCTGGGTACAAGGGGTTGTTTTATATGACAGTTGCTAAGCAAAGTATCCACGTTGGTAAAATGTGAGATAATTAATTAAACTGTAAGGAAATAAGTGTTCTTCAAAGCACCATTGTGAACTATTGCCATACATTTACATGGCTATCTGGTACAGAAAATCAGGCTGTTGCCCTCACTGTTGTCCGCAGAGCTTGTTGACATATTTCTGTGCGTATGTGAATGGTAGCACCGCCTGCAAGTGGAGTTTCTATTGGTACTCTAATTTCCTCCCACATGCAACAAAACAGTTTATTTGCCAAGCATCACCAACATAGCCCTCCTGAAAATAAGAGTCTTTGGGCTCAGTGAGGTTTTCCTGAACAATTAACATTCAAGATCGTGATCCACGGTCAGTCCACTGCGGGCTGCAGGCCTCCCCAGGCTTCTGCCATCTCTCACAACCCTGGGATCGTGTAGAACAAAGTCAATCCACCGAGCAACTGCACACGAGCTGATTTCATTGCTCTGTCTCCCCCATTGGATGTCTTCTCCAAAGTGGTTCCTTCCATGTCTGCCACTCCATCATTGTTCTTTGACCATCGTCTCTTTGAGTGACATATCATGTTCGAGCACGCGTACTTTTTTTTTTTAGCAGTTTGAATGATGTCATTCATCTAGGGTTCTAGGCGTATTCTCTAATCCAGTCAAATTGATTCTGCGAACAATAATAGTTAAATTTATAATTCAGCCTCTGAAGATGTTTTTTACAGAGGTGTTACGGCTGAATCTTCTTACTTTACATGTTTAGAACATTCGAGTAAATTATATGATGCATATCGCACTGACACCCCACCCAATATTTTGTCTATTTCACTGGTCAACAAAAAAAAACTTTTTTTTTCTGGCCTGGACTTTTGCAGCTGTTTTAGACTAATTTCAGGGCGCTGATTCCAAATCTGATCTCAGATTTGCTCTATCACATCTCATTTTTATGCTATCGGCATACCCCATTTTCATTGATTTTACCCGAAATTAACTCTGTCACTTATGATTGCAAGTTGTTGCGAGTCAGTGACTGCTTTAGTGTTAAAATATGGTGCTGTATTTTTAGGATAGTGTGTTTATAATATCATTTTATGTAGATATCCACATTTATTTAATATTTTTCTTCTGCAATGTTTATTTTTGGAATCAGCACCCCAAATTGACCTTAAACCCGTTGGAATACCTTATGCCAGAAAAAGTGTGTTGACCAGTGTTTTCATTGTTGCATGAGTGGTTAAATCTGCTTCTGTCAAAATCGACTGGAGAGATTTTGTTTACATTCAGCCCGTGTTGTCAGGCTTGGCTTTATTCCATTCATGATGCATTCACAGTCCCCAATGCTAAGTGCTCACACATCAAGGAGCATGCTGCTGAGTCCATTTATAAAGTAAAACAGTAATTAATCACACCTTCCAAAGCAGTTTCTGTGACTGACCGTGTTAGGCTTAATATAAGATCAGCCAACTCATATTCCACTCAATAAAATTCTGGGTCTTGGTACATTTATTTACACAATTAACGCCTCTGTTAAGTATATTTTATGGAAGTGTAATGCCAAAACTTGTTATAAGTGCTGTGCTGTCCCCTGCAGTTCCTAAAAAAAACCATGACCGTTTTTGAGCATATTTCTTAGAGATGGCAAAGATGTGGGGAAACCCTCAACCAGCAGTGGATTGATGGATTGATCATGGCTGTTGATAATCATGATGACCATGATATTGTATAATACACTATCCAGTAATATATCGAACCCGGCAACTCGAGTTCGATTCCCGCTCACGGCCACCACCGGTGACGATTATTTCAACCGGTTCTGGGCCTCCCCTAGGTTGACTCAGCCTCAAACGAGTAACTGGTGTGGTGTGGTGAACATCTCCACTGGGGGGACAAAGGCGGCCGGGCGTGGTGCTGGCCACCCACCCCCTCGTGTGCCGTGCCGGCCTTCATAGGCGCTCGCTAACAGCACTTGCCCCCTACAGTCTCACAGGCTACACGGGGGAGCTTTGTCTTTATCTTTGTGTGTGTGTGGGGGGGGGGGGGGGCAGCGACTGCGTAGCGATTCGTGCGCTGCGTTACGAACCCGGCGACCCGAGTTCGATTCCCGCTCACGGCCACCACCGGTGACGATTATTTGAACCGGTCCTGGACCTCCCCTAGGTCGACTCGGCCTTGTGTTTTTAAAGAGACATTTCCAAATAACAGTTTTGAAAGGATATGTTTTCAGACAAATACGGACACATTTAGTGCATGAAAAAATACCAATGCAACATTGAATTTAGGCATACATTGGGTTGTCATGCAATAACGGATGATGTGTATACTTCATATTATATTGATGATAATATTATTTACATGCTTCTTTATACATATTAAATGTCTACAAGGCATATTTATAATGGTTTGCCAGTGCCTAACTGGCCCGTGTTATACTGATGGCTGATGTATGTTGTGCTTTGTTCGGGTTAGGTTTACAAAAAATGGTAAAATAAAAAAGACGTACAGCAAACAAGAAGCTTCAATTGAGCCGTACCCAATGGTAATTAGTGAGTTTGCTTTGTCCGAAACGATAATATTGATTTAAACAATATCAATGCAATGAATACATTACACTACAATTTGGAGATGTCTTAGGGATGGTAACTGCATCTGAAGACGCTGTACAAAACAATGTGCCGTACAAATGGAGTTGTTTCATATGTGTATAAAGCGTATGTTTAGCTTTTCAGTAACATTGATTTAAAATAATTTTCATGATTTTCACATTTTCTTCCGGAATACAGGATGAAGAACAAGCTGTGGTACTTTGAATTTGGGACATCAGAGACGCTGTTTGCTACCTGCAAGAAGCTCTACGAGTTCATGGAGGTGGAGGTGAGAATGGGATTTGTGACATCGACATCATCATCATACGTTTGCTGAAAATGAACACACACCAGTCATGCGCGACATGAGGATTGCACGCAGTTCTACTGCATAGGAGAGACGCAATTGAGATCAGTGTTTGTCATTGCTCCGTGTAAGGCGCTAAGCTCTACAACAATATCCTGCCTGTGCGTAGACAGACTGGTTAGTTTACATAGTGTCGTTCATGGAAATTGCATTATATTGTGTCGGTCATGCAAATTGCAATTGCTGAGGAAACACAGACAAGCAGGAAAGCAGCCCGGCAAGTGGTCAGCCGGTGCCAACAATTGTCTAAGCTCTGCAGTCTTCTATGTATGAAGATGTTTTTAACCAATTAATGAGTGTTTTTTATAACAGTAATTTACTTACTTTTTAGGAAAGTCGCAGCATTCTTCTTTTTTAGGAAGGTTCCTGGATTGAGATTTTTAAAGTGTTTTCAACAAATTATTGAGTGGTTATACATGCGGGAGGAAACTGGAGCACCCGGAGAAAACCCATGTGTGCAAGGGGGGGAAACATTACCTCCCCGTGCAGATGGAAACGGATGGAGGTTTGTCCGTTTGCCGTACTGCCTTCTCCTGGCAAGCTAGGATATGACACCTCGACGCCTATGGGAAAGGAATTTCACGAGATTTTTGTGATCCACCAGCCATCAACAGTGCTGGATTACAGGCCACCTGGCAGCACAGCCACCACCAGACAGTGTTCTCCATCACATTGCCTCTCTGTGAGAAATAACCTTAGAGCTCATCGGATTCAAATTTCGATTTAAAGCTTTCGTGACTGCAGGGATTCATATTCTTGGTTCTTTCGGTAAAGTCACGTAGAAGGGTTTTTTCTTAACGTTAATAAAAAAGGCCACTTTAAAAAAAGAATCTTGTTGTGGTTTTCACACCTGATGACGATTGCCTGTGTTGCAATCGAAACGTCGTGATAATTTGATTGTTTTATTTTTATTATTTTATTATTTCCCTTCTACGTGACTTTACCGAAAGAACCAAGAATAGGAATACTCATCGGATTCCTTCAGTATAAATAAAGATTTTGATTCTCATTATTATTTGTGTTCCGTGCTTGACGGCCATGACAGGACAAACAAAAAAAACCGTCCAGTGTTAGGCAGAAGATGGCGACATTGTATGAATACCATTTCATATGTGGTGCAGGGCAGTCAACGAACATTGGTAACTCCCCATGTCCGTTTGAGCAATGATACACATTTGGATTTTATTTTTGCGTGGCTCCCCTTAAAGTCGTCATTTGTTTTTTCGAAGAAGCAGAACAAGAAATGTGTTAGACGTTCGATATGAAGTGAACTTGGGAGCAACGCTCGGTGTACTATCTGAAGTGTGCTTGTATCACGAGTTGCCCATCACCTTCCACTCCATCAGTGTGAAGTAAGGATGTGTTCCTAGGATCAGAACTGTGCTCATATCCATCTTCTATTTTAATACAATTTCAAATGGGCAAGGGAAGTTTTTTTTCCATCAGGGATTGATAAACATTGTCCACGCACCAACAGGTACACATGTATAAAATATGACTATTTTTTCCAGGCTGCTCTGTATCCTTAGGGCCAGCAATTAGGGTCACTTTATAATCATGTGTGAGCTCGTTGAGACAAGTCGTATTTTCAGGGAAAAGTTTCAAAGCAAATTTAGTACCGCGAACCACATGTTTTGCAGCACAAATGTGGTTTGGAATGAACAAAACAACATGCAAGTTTGTATGTTATGTTAAACTAATAGAGTAATAAAACATAATTTAAATACAAACATACTACAGATTATGCACAAAGGGAATAACGATGACTATAAGTCATAAAATGTAATCCTGTAATTCAATTTAAATGCAATATAATTGGGGTAATTACGATTGGTTTTCTACATGAGTAGCTTTTAAAACATTCAGTTCGGATGGCCAAATAGATATTCGATTTGTGAAATATAATCTGACTGAGATGGTACAATAAAAAAGTGAAGTGCCACACAATATTATTCCGTATAACTGAAGCATTATACATGCAACACAAGGCACATTTTTTAATCGCATTAAGGACTTAGATTTAGCGTGAAAGTGGCAAACACTTTGTCTGGCCAATTGAAGAAACTGTTTTCTCTTGTGACTCAGGTGCACATCACATTGAAGACTCATTTCTTTAGAACTGCTTTAGCGTCTAGTTTGTTGTCCTTCCCCTGCACCTCCGATTAGCACGGTTGGCTACGTATGGTGCAAAAGAAGTTTGACGTACGTACGTCAACATACATGCATACAGCAGTGGGCCGTGCCATTGACCTGGGTGGCTCCTACCTCCGTGCCTTCTCTAACACGGAGCAATTGACTGCTTTTGCTTGAATTCACAAATAAAAACTGGGCCTAGAAATAGCATGAATGTGACTGTCATGAATGTCCTCATAAATAGGGGTCTAAATAATTAAGGTCAATTTTTCTCGTTATCAATTCAGTAAAGTAAATGGGGAAAAAATCGAACGCAAGGCACTTAATAGGAATCCTCATGAGATTAATTGATTGGTTGCCCATGCGTTTTTCTCCCTCCAACAGTGTATTTATGCATGCGGTACAGTGTTAAGCAACTCTGCAAGGAAAAGCCATGTAATATCGCACTTAATATGAAGAGTGAAGGGGAGCTCCGCAGCTGAGCTTGCGTTTTACTCCCGCAATTTGGACACAATGATTTTTACATTCTCTAAATGCATATGAAGTCAATGTGTGTGTGTCGGTAAAATCGATGGTTAAAAAACTAAGTTATTTGTAAATACGTGGGGTTTTTTTCATGGGGTTTCGATGGTGGCAGAGAGGTAGGGGTGACATTTAGAGTGATATGCAAGAAAAATATTGCTTATATTAGTTGCCGATGAAAGTAAGAGAAGCACGGCTATTGAGCAAGTAGAACTTGTGATGAAGACTTAACCTGCCTCCACCTTCGTCGTCGTGGCTAAAGAAATGTCTTCACCACAGCTCAACTGAGATGGCGCTTTCAGCCATTGCCGCATTAACTTCATCTCTTTGGCTGAGTACGCTTGTCTTTTCGGAGCTTGAGTGCAACCAAATTTAAGTGTGAACACCAACACATTAAAATTTTGCAAGTTACATCTAATCTAAGCGGTGTAAAGTAAAGAAGTAACGATGCTGTTACCATCACACAGTGCATGGGAAGAGCCTAGTAAAGTGGAAAGCGCATTTTCATTTTATATCACAGGGCACTTAAACCCAAGATCACGTAGTTGTTGGCCCCATTCCCTCAAATGAACGTTGGCCCCAAGACATCCAGCCACCTTGTCACTTTTAGTAATTTAGTTTCTTAAATTAAACTTTTAAGGTTGAAAAATTGCCACAGCTGGATGTAAGATCAAAGGCTTCTAGGCCTGGCTGACTCTTGCCTATTTTTTGCATTCCTTCGTAAGAATAATGAGCGCGTAGAGAGAGCAGCAGATACGAAAAGCATGCCCGGGCACACAGCTGGGAGGCTGCTGCTGCTGCTGACTGAATATTACTGTATTTTTAAAAATGACAGAACACAAGCCAGGACCAAAAAAAAGTAGGTTGACTGCCAACATTTAACAAGTTGAATGAACATCCGGGTAAACACTATCCTTTATAGTTTTTTTTTTACAAGTTTGGGTATGTTTGTTGCTTAAATTCTAGGAGAAAGCTGTGAAGGGTGAATATATTATCCGTAACAATATAATAGGAGACTATTATACCTACAGAGTTTCTTTGATCTCAGACATTTAAACGTAATAAAATTTTGTGTATTTGCACAGGGTGTTGTATTTTTTGGTGGATCGAGAACGATTTAAAATGTCACGTGGACACCGTCCTTGTTGAAGGTTGAAGGTGTGACCTGACATCTTGTCATACATTTTGCCAATCACCAGTGGGATTTTGTACGTAACCATTTTCAAAGGGGAACTGAAGCCTTAGTAAACCAGGTTAATGCGTAATGTTATGTATGCAGAGGAAGGCAGGTATATTTACATTTACTGCAGTGCATAACCATGTGCTATGGCATTGTTAGAAAAAGAGTAACGATTTCAAGGCATGCTGACGGGTAGCAACAAGCAATCCTGGCCATTGTGCATTAGTTTAAGTACCACGTGATTGATGGCAAGGTCACAGGGTGAGGACAAACTATATTCTTATGCGTTTTTCTGAGGAGGACCAAATGTGTTTAGATATGTAAGCCATAAAATCGGCACACTTACATAATGCAGTACAATAATGAAAGGCAGTATATTACATTTGTGTCCACAATGTTTTTTTTTCTTTTAACATGCCCGCTAAAGTGCCATAACCACGTTGCGATAGGGCCAGTAAGCACTGGTCAACCAGCATCTGTCTGTGCAGACATGGCACTTGCTGTGTTGCAGAACCATCTACTCAAAAAACGGGCCGTACCCATGATGGCACCACTTAGTTTAGGGCGATTATGACCAAAGCTAATTCAGGAACGCTTTGTTATTTGCTTGACCTTGCCGATGCACCATGTGAGGGGCACTCCGCTAAAGTATACGATCGAAAGAGTGTTGCTTTAGTAGATTTCTCACCCATCTGTACGGCATTTTAGAGGTTCAACGGTGGGTTCCTCATTCTAGATGTGAAATACTCGAGAAAGAAACTGGTAAAGCTTCTCGACATGGGACACTAACTTCATAAAATAAAGTCTTGAGACACACAGAAGCTTTCATAGATAAATTAATAATGATCACTGTCATAAAGTGTCTTGTTGCTTGATATAATGCATGGGAATTACACCCAGTGTTTATTATCGAGGTAATTACTTTATAGAATAAGTTACGCAATGGAATACTTTTTGTTCGAAGATGTTAGCACGCGGGCTGATCAATGTGACACACGTCCATTTTTTTTCCTCAGCTGCTTCTGCACATTTCTCACATTTCGTACAATGCAACACTTTTTCTTTGAACAGTGAATGTTACGTTTCTTGATGGCTCAAGGCCTGGGAAAAAATAACCCAACATAGTTATTCATATTTTGGGAAATGTTAACATTAATTGAAAATAAATAACTGAAACATTACATGCATGTCCTGATAAACAGTGAGTCCCATATGCAAAATTACAATATAACATCGTGGTGTGTTTAGAAAAGGAGAGCCTTGTCGATGAAAAAAAAATAGCATTTCTGAAGCCACGTCTATGCATATAGCTCACAAACAAACGCTTAATTGACATGTTACATCATTAAACACGAGTGCAAACATGAAAACAGCTTTGGATTGAGACGAGGCTCAAAAGAAAGCTGTTTCTGGTGTGGACCAATCAGTTTCAAAGACAATGCATTTATTATCAGAGTGTTTTTTTGTTTGCATTTTGACCACAAGCATGTCTGACATGATTCTTTGTAAAAGGTTTTAGTTTTGTGTTTTAACCACTTAACACCTGTTTTGTGGCCAGATAGAAGGGGAAAAAACCTATTTTCAGCTTTGGATTGTTGATCAACTGAATGGGGAAAAAGCCTGTAAAGAGGATTTTGTTTCTTAAAAGCATATTAACATTCCAGAAACATGGGGAAACTCAAGAGTGATCTTTTATTCCCAGCTGATTTTATTCATTTCAATGAACATCCATTTTAGTTTTTATATAAATACTGAGCTGGGTACTTAACGGGGCTGACGTGGTGACAGCATTGAGGAGAGCGGATATTGTGCAGCAGATATAAATGCGCCATGATACAAACATTTTCATTATAGACTGAAATAAAATGCAACTGCCACTGTGCTCATATGCAAATAATTAATACTGGTAGGAACCTCCTGGTTACACCAGCCCACAGGGGATTATTGTGTCCATCCGTCGTGCAGGGAAGGGCTGGGTGGGGAGGGAGGGGCTGGGTGGGGAGGGTGGGGAGGGGCTAAGTGGGGAGGGTGGGGCTGGGTGGGGAGGGTGGGGAGGGGGCTGGGTGGGGGGTGGGAGGGGTGGGGCTAGGTGGGGAGGGGCTGATCACCCCGTGGTGCCCTTCTAAAACTCAACGTTTAACCTACTCCCGCCGGCTTGTGCCCGCCCTCACAGTCGGCCCTATTTGCGGAATACACCACGCCGCCGTTGACCCTGGCCATTGACCGAGCAACCCAACGTTCCTACCAGCTCCCTCCGCAGGAATGTGTTTTATTCTGGCTGCCCTTGTTTACGGCAATTATAGTGGAGCAATCACGAGTTTTCAAAGGAAAATAAATGGATTTAAAGGCTTGATTGGTGTGGAAAATTCTTTTTTTGCAGGTCAACATTTATTTGTCGTCCAACATGCGCCTTTCGGCTTTGCACGCTCACCTACTATGTAAATGTTGTGATTCCCTTTCAGATGCGACTAGAGTGGTGTTCTTTATTGCACGGCCTGCGGGCATCTGGCAGACAATGGTGGCCTTTAGTGAGACTCCCGAAAATACACACATGTGAAAAAACGTCCATAATGCTGTCAAACTCAATGGTTTCAAATGTGCGACGGCCCTCACACTATCTGCGAAAGTGCCCCCCCCCCTCTGAAACTTAGTGAAGAACACTGGACTAGAGCGTTGACCAAGGATTTGTATGCCACGCATCCCCTTGTGCCAGTGTGACGGCGTGCAGCTGGATCTGGCCAACAGTTCTCTGGAGGGCATCACAGTGCTGAACATTCCGAGCATGCACGGCGGCTCCAACCTCTGGGGGGAGACCAACACTCGACGGGTCAGCCGACGCAGCAGCATGCGGAGGAGTGGCCGAGAGAAGGTTCAAGCCACCATTGCCGACCAGCGCGAACTCAAGTTCTGCCAGCAAGGTCATTGCAATCACTCGTGTGCACTCAACACAAAGATCCCCCGTATAGGCAAAACAGACTTTTGGCTCAAGTGGTGTTCGCAAGCACCTATGAATTTCGATTTAAAGCTTTCGTGACTGCAGGGATTCATCTTCTTGGTTCTTTCGGTAAAGTCACGTAGAAGGGAAATAATAAAATAAATAAATAAAACATTATAAAATAATTCTCACGACGTTTCGGCCACAACGCAAGCAGCCGTCCTCAGGTGAAGAACAGGTCTGTCGAGAAGACAGAGTCTGAATGACTTTGTCTCTGTCGTGACTTTACCAAAAGAACCAAGAAGATGAATCCCTGCAGTCACGAAAGCTTTAAATCGAAATTTATGGAATTATTATTTAGGGATGTACATCCATCGTGTCGGCAGCAAGTGGTGTTCGCAAGCGCCTTTGAAGTCCGGCATGGGACACATGAGGGGGTGGATGGCCAGCACCATGCCCGGCTGCCTTTGTCTCCTTAGTGGCGATGTTTGCACACTGTGCTAGGTACTAATTTTGAGGCTGAGTTAACCTAGGAGAGGCCCAGAACCAGTTCAGATGATATTAATTATTTTTTTTCGGGTTTGCCGGGTTCGTATTGCAGTATGCTAACCACTACGCTACCACTCCCCACACACATCAGCGTATGTCCACCAGCACGCATGATCACACACGTATCACATGTGTGATTGTCCAAATGTGTTTGTGTGAGCACATGAACACTGCCTTAGGGGGTCTCATGCTCCATTCCTTGCACTCGCAAATGATCCATTCCTCATGTTTACCAATATTCCTCATTTATATGTAAATAAGGTCATGATGTGTTGCGCACAACTGTTGATTGGGGAAAATGGAAAATGTTGACCCTGTGAAAGCACACGAGCAGTTGTCTGAGGTGTGTTACACTCACCACCTGCATGAACTGACACACGCACTGTGCACCAAAAGCACACAAACACGGATTTAAACTGAACTGATCCCTGAACATACTGGGGGGGAGCGGTGGCGCAGTGGTTTGCACACTTTGCTATAAACCCAGTGACATGAGCTTGATTCCTCGTGCCGGCTTACATCAGTGACGAGCGTAATATCTGAATTTGTCCTGGGCCCTCCCCCACAATCCTCCTCCCCATCCTCCTTTCACAAACTCACACCGTCCAGCAGTGAATTGACAAAAGGTTGCTGAGGTTCATGTAATGTTTTTACTGTTAAAAATATTGTACGTGCATAAAGATGTTAAATTATGCAGGAAAGACTCAAACCCTTTTCAGTTGAGTCATTAATTTTAATGTCTGGCCAATTCATGTTTAATAAGTGCTTTACATGTACGGTATAACCAAAAAATCACCAGTCTGTTTGACCGAGCATGAATACGTGTATATATATATACATATAGAGTGGAAATTAGATATTGTATTGGTGACTCACTCAAACCCTCCTGGACTATGTTAGCAACATCTACACACCTTTGTTCTACACGTCACATTTCCATGATCACTGGCAACAGAGATTGGTTGGCCAGGAACAACCCAGGATCAGCACCACATAGCAGACCCATGTTCCTTCTACGTCATGAGCCACACGGCTTCATCCCTTTCACTCTCTTCCTCTCTATTATGGGAAGTTGTTTTTAAAATGCAAAGTGTTTTTAAACATACAATTAATAGAGTCTTGGATGACGATACGAACCCAAGCTACAATGTCTTATTTTGTATTTTTTTCTTCTTTCGTATGGCATTGTGAAAAGCAGCAGTTTAGATTTTTTCTCAATGACCATCATAAATGAATGCAAAGGTTCCTCATCCAGTCCAATGATGTGGTTGACGCAGTGTGGATTTCAGCGATACCGCCAGGATGTGCATGGATGGATCATTCATCGGTGATGTGCTTGATGGTTTGGACTTCTCCACAGTCGCAGTTGGGCGATTTTTGATCTTCCATTTATGGAATGTGTAAGCGCATCTGCCGTGTTGTGTTCGAGCGCAGTTCAATGTGATTCATAGTCGTTGTGGAAGAGAGAATCCCGGTATTTTTACCGCCGGATCGTAAATGATGTTTTTGTTTGCCACGTCCATCGCCGCCCATAATTCAGACCACCAAGTGGCAGTGTCTCTAATGTTTGTAGCTGACGCTGAGTAGGGAGATAGGGCGGTAGTTTTGAGCGTCCGATGCGTCCTTGCCTGGTTTCAGAATGGCTATTATCCTTGCCTCTTTCCACTCTTTCGAAATGATGCTTGTGGAATGGATATCAGTAAAGAATGTGGCTAGCCATTTTCTTGCTCTTGGTCCCAAGTTCTTGATGAATTCTGGATAAATATTGTCAAGACCTGAGGCTTTCCCGCATTTCAACTGGGCAATACCGGCATCTACTTCCTCCACTGAGAATGGACGGGAGAATTCAGAGGTTTTTTGGCAGCTATCTAGTGTGCAATAAAGTTCTTTGTAGACTTGCCGTCTTATGCTTTTGTCGATTGAAGTTCGTGAATTGTTGATAAGTTGCCTAGCAATCTCGTCAGGACTGACTTGCCGAGGATTATCGGCTGGCGTCGCGGCAGCTCCCATCAACCTCAGGAGGCGCCAGGCTTTACGGCTCGATTTTGCAAAGTCAAGTGCCTCAACTGTTTCACGTCACCTTTCTCTTCTTTGCAAATTCAGTGACTCGAGTAAAGCTTTTGCAGTCTCCTGCTTCTTATCAGCATTGAATTTCCGGAAAAGTTGTTCGCTTTCTGGAGTCCAACATGGAGTGAAGACCTTTCTGAAGCCTCTTACGATGTTGGCCTTGGCAACTGCCTTGATGAGACCAACGAAGTGACGGTAGTTGACTGCACGTGGAGGTATCATTCCAACTGATTCTTCCAAGTCCGCAGTGAAATTCACCCATTCAGCTGATCTCAGATTCCGACGCGGTATTGGTGCGCAGCGGAAGAGTGAAATCTGAAGACCGATATGGATCACTACAGGTCTATGTTGGCTATTTGGAAAGTCGTCTAGGATTGTTCTCGTCGACGGCATCAGATTTCTCTTCTGCTCCCGAGACACAAAACATAAATCGGGCGTTTCACACTTTTTTCAGCTCGCTGACTTGAACGTACCGCGGTCTTTTAAGTGCTGGTCTTCTGCTGCTGCCCATGATGTCAGTTGTTCACCAGCTCTATCGTTGGCGCTATAGCCCCACAAGGTGAGGTGGCTGTTGAAGTCGCCTATGTGGATGATAGGGTGGCTTGGCTTCGGTAATGCCGGACACGACCATTCCATACCTGGAGGCTTGTAGACGTTGACCACTGTCACGTTGTTGATCTCGATGGCGATGTAGTGTGGCGAGGTGTGTGGCACGACCTGGACCGTGTCCTTCAGGTCGTTCTTTACGTATGTGGCAAGGCCGTGTTTCGGATGGTGGCTTGCAGCAATGAGAGTGTATCCGATTATCTTGACCGAGGGCACTGTCGATCCAGATGCGTTTCTTCCAGTGCAAAGACGTCGACCTCTTGAAACTGGAGAATCTTCGCAATGTAATCGCATTTCGCACTGGAGGGGCCCTCGACGTTAAGCTGCATGATTCGCAGCGATGGGACGACATTCACATTGCTCTGACCTTGTGAAATGCTCTCTGTGCTGTTGCTTTTCAGGCCGGGATACCATTGTCGGGCATTCGGCCGCCGGTGTGATGACATTTGTTGTGCTTTCGCGAGCAGGTTGTCATCTTCTTCCCCATTTTAAACTAAAACTAAATTCAACTTTTTTTTATTTTACCAGGTAAGGTCCACTGAGCTATATTGCTATTTTTCAGAAGCAACCTGGCCACAAACAATAGCTCATTGAAGTGGCTTATCATGTGGATATGTATCGCAGCCAAATACTCTTAAACGCACATTTCTAAATGTGGAGAGAAAAACCGGAGGACCAGGTGAAAAATCAACGCGTTCTCAGGCAGAACATCCAAATATACAGGCGTCAGGGTTGGGATTGAACCCACGACTTTCTTTACACCAGGCAAGGTAGTTAATATCTCACCACCGTGGAACCCTCAAAACAACAATAGAGCCCCGAAGTTGAAACAAGCAAAGTTTACTGTTGGCTGCGCATCCTGTTTCCACATTGATCCCACGATGTCATGACTGGTTTTGAGCTTTGCCCAGATAAAATGAGCCCACTGGTGTTTAGTCTCTCAGCCTGGTTTGCCAGGGAGGACGGCATGTTTCCCTGTGGTCATGAAAACACGGCAGGGGCTGAGCTGGAACTTGAATTTATTCCAAGTAGCTGATGTCATCCTCGATGACCATACTCATCACTGGGCAGATTGCCCTCTACACACATGGCAATACACTCTCCTTATACACAGGCACACAAAGATGTGCTACAATGCCGTGACAAGCACATATGTTCAAGCACATTATCACAAGCACATCAGAACCAGCATGAATAAACAAGCACATGTAACGAACTACAATAAATCACATATGCTTGTTGAGCACTGTTTTTCATCTCATGTTAGTCCATTCTAACGTGGATGATATAGTTGTGTCGATTGGGAAAGAGGAAAATGACGTTTGCTGTTCATTTATTTCCACTGGTTTTGAATGGAAAAGGTGGCATCATAAATTATATCCAGAAGGAACATTGTTTGTAATGCAGAGGAATGCAGAATCATCGAATTGCACGCACATTTGTGAGCGAGTGCATGATAGGTTCACTGCACAGGCTTGATTAAGCACACAGAGATAGGAATCAGGAATACCGGCACATGTTTATGTGGTGAGAACTGCAAAGAGACATCGCCTTCCCTGAGGAATTTCTCTTGAGACGAGAAAAAACCCCAATGTATGTCTTAAATACCATCGTATTATTTAAATTGCAAACAAAAACCGTTAATATTCCACTGTTAATTAAGTCCACTGCGGATTACCTGAAAGACAAAACACTTATGCACGACCATTTGCAGTTGAATTTCGGTGCCAAGAAAGCTTATACAATTATTCCGAGCATTGC